GGGGGGGGGGGCTGCCAGTTGATTTATTGTTGGACATATTTTTGCGCCGTGGGGCCACTTGGGTTTCCCCGGGGGTGGGGGGGGGTGCCCCGGAGATATAGCTGAAAGTAACCCTGGCCCCACTGAGCGTTTCCCACAATGGACGCCGCGAATCATTACAGGATTTTCATGTATTCTATTTCCGCTTTCAATCCAATGTGTCAGGACAAGCTGTGGCGGGCAACGTCGTCTAGAGACTGGCTGGTCCCCTACAGTGGCGGTGTAGGAAGGGGTGCGGAGGGGTGCTCCTCTTTTTTTATGGAGGGGCGGTATTTTCGGTCAATTCTTTTCAGTAAAAATCTTGGCCCGTCCCAGGGGTGGCACTAACCGCAGCTACACCACTGGATACAAGCCTCCTCTACATGTTATTTTGGCCAATTTTGGACCGCCTCTTCCCCAAGCTTCACAAATGTGGCACATCGTTTAGACACCTTCTCTCTCTCTCTCTCTCTCTCTATCTATCTATCTATCTCTCTCTCTCTCTCTCTCTCTATCTATCTATCTATCTATCTATCTATCTAAGATAGATAGATAGATAGATAGATAGATAGATAGATAGATAGATAGAATCTATCTATCTATCTATCTATCTATCTATCTATCTATCTATCTATCTATCTATCTATCTATCTATCTATCTCTGTCTCTCTCTCTCTCTCTCTTCTCTATCCCTCTATCTATCTCTCACTCTCTATATTTATCTCTCTCCCCAAAACCATTATTAGACTATCACTTTCGGAAATATACATATATATATAATATTGGAAAATTCGGTACTTCAATTTTAATTCACCGCAAAAATTATCATGACTGCTATTCTATGTCTATGCAGTTATATTATATCCGGTTTAAAAATGCAATTGCTTCTGTAGTCTCCATGAATTCTTTAACAATTTCTGCATTAGTTCAAAATGAAGTCAGTTGTATCTTGTTTCTTATTCAACAACATGGTATTATACATGCTGTCAGACGATGTGCTAAAAACCACAAAGTTAACGGAATGCCAATACTAAACACATCGAACGTACGTGGAAATTGGCGAAAGAAAGAAACAATGGCACACACAGACATATGCTCGATTCATATATGTGTGAGTTCATTTTGCATCGACGCGTTAAAGCAAATGGTTTGAATGTATTCAACGCCATTCTAGACGATATTGTTCAAATTTGGCCACCACAGTGGCGGAGTTCTTTAAAAGAAGTAAATAAGTTTTAATGCAAAAGAACATTTTTTTTTTTATTGAAAGTGTGAAGTGTTTTAATGGAAATGTGAAATAATGTATAATGTACAATTATTTTTGCGTTGAATTAAACGTTTTTATTCAAAAGAACATTTGTTTTATTGGAAGTGTGAATAATACTAATTTTTGCGGTGAATTAAAATTGAAGTACCGAAAATTCTTTTACTCAATATAATAGTCTACCTGTTGAGCAAATGTTTTAAAGTCATTTATTATTATTATTATTTGGACTTAAAATTGGCTCGCGAGCCAGGTCTGGCACGCGTGCCGTAGGTTGCCGATCCCTGTACCAGCCCTTTCATAATGGTCGCGAGAAGTCATTTCCGGTGCCCCATAAAGCTCAGCCGGTGTTTGTGGAGGATAATCAGAGTCTTAGCAGGGACCAACCAGACTTCACGTGTGAATGGGGTTATTTGTTCTCTTATTAGCCAACCGATAAACCTCATGATTTAAAAGCGTTTGGGTAACGTAGAACGGCCCTTAACTTTGCATTTAGGATCTGAAAGTATTAGATATTCGTTGAATTTGTTTTCTGTTTGTTATCTGTTATTTTTTTATTTTTTTTTTTTGCTCAGAAAAAATCTACGATGTATTATTATAAAAATATTTCCTGTCATATAATGTATACAGGCAATTTTTTGCATCTCAAATGTCCCCACCCAATAACGTTACAGGAGCGTTTATATTTCGTATTGTGGGAGAGAGGAGCTAATTTAAAAAAAAATAAAAAAATTTGAGACTTCTCAACAAGATCCCTAAAAGGAAATTGAGGTCCCTAGGGTCTATTGTGGATTGAGATCATCATTACGATAGATATTCACAAAAAGTCTGCCCCAAAAATTAAATGCGCTTTGTTGAGCCTTTACTCTCGTCTATGGGATACGATCACAAAGGAAAAGAGAGAGAGAGAGAGAGAGAGAGAGAGAGAGAGAAAAGAGCATAATGGGTTGGTGAATATCATTTCCGCTTTCATATCATATGTGGTTGTCATGGTTTGGCTATGTAAACATGGATCGGATGACATCACCGTGAATTGTGTGGAAATACATTATTCAGAGTAAAAGTATACATTTTATTTTTAAAACTCTATTATTGTGTATGTTTTAAATAACCCTACTTAACTTACTGGAATCGAGTTTAGAAACAACAAGCATGATTTTGGAACCAACCCAACTTGTAAAGGTAGGCGGCAACCATGGGCAAACTACTCTGTTTTACAAACATTTGAACTTAGCCCGTACATAAGTTTATGAATAAAAATTCGCCCGTTCCATAAACCATTTCCCTGACAACGGCCCTTCACAACTTTGCTTTTAAATATTGCAAAAGCCGCCTTAAAAAAAAATAATCGCAATAGATTCACTTTTTTTTTAAAAAGCAGGACATTAGCATTAGAGTGCTAAGGCATGTCAAAATCGCCAGGTAAGAAAGCCATCTGTAAACTAACGCCCGCATCCCTGCCAGCTTGGGCTCTAAAAAGCAAACGCGACTGTTTGAAGGAGCCGCTAAAGACATTCTGTGTAACGGACGGTGTGGGCGCAGCCATGACAAAACACCAACTGGTAACAGCAGGGTTCTCAAACCTGCAAACACCAAACTGGTGTAACAGCAGGGTTCTCAAACCTGGCAAACACCAAACCGGTAACAGCAGGGCTCTCAATCCTGGCAAACACCAATCTGGTAACAGGAGGATTCTCAAACCTGGCAAACAAAAACTGATAATAGCAGGGTTCTCAAGGCTGGACCATGAATGGCAAAAAATTGAACTCCCAATGTTGTTGTTATTTCTTTCAAGTAAATTCTAGATTATGGTAAAAGAATATACAATGGATATAATATTTTATAAAGGAAATGTGTTTTTTTCTCTTCTAAGCGTCGCTTTTGATTTTCCATTAGAGGCGTATCTAAGGAGGGCAGAGTTGGATAGATGTCCCCGGACGCCAGACTAGTTGGTGCACTAAAGGGGCTTTCATATTATATTATTAGTGAAAATAATAGGTTTCAGAGTTTAGAAAAGGGAGATGGGGTGGCCTTCAAATGAATCTTGTCCCAGGGCTAAAAACACTAGCTACGCATCTGCTCCTGGTCCACTGTTACACGTAAATTTTATGGATGGGGCATCGTCGCAATGTATAGCTTTCCCAAGCCCATCGGGTCATTAGTATAGCTCGCCCAACACCACCACATGGGATCATTAGTATAGCTCGCCCAACACCACCACATGCGTTCATAAGTATAGCTTGCCCAACACCACCACAAGGGCTCATCAGTATAGCTCGCCCAACACACCACAAGGGCTCATTAGTATAGCTCGCCCAAACCACCACAAGGGCTCATTAGTATAGCTCGCCCAACACCACCACAAGGGCTCATCAGTATAGCTCGTCCAACACCACCACAAGCGCTCATTAGTATAGCTCACCCAACACCACCACAAGGGGTCATTATTAGTATAGCTTGCTTAACACCAGTATACCATCACCGCAAAGATGACGAAACTTTCTTGGTCTAAATGCAATTGTTCAGTTCAACCAAGAACTAAACTAATCCATCACCATTTGATTTATCTGACCATTGTGAGGAAACCTCATTTAAACGGACTTCCTTTCAAGTGGGAGGGGAGAAAAGCCAGACAAGTCAGGAACTCCTCCTCCACCACCACCCCACCCACCCCCCACGAGGGAAAAAAAAGTATTTAAAAAAAAATTTCCTCCGACCTGGACTGAGAAGCAACTCTCCCCGACCCACACAACAACTCATGGACACAGGAAGTTGTGAGGAACAAACATACCTACGCGTTTCCTTCTGACTTTTTGTCTCATTCGATTAATGACAAGCGACTTGATCGCTGGACACTGGCAGGATGACACACTGGACATGGATATATATTCGTTTCTTTTCTAAATTGTGCAGCATTGTCACGCGAATAAGTTTAGTAGATCTGTCGTAGAAATAACTATAACAGAAATAAACACGGTAGAATTTCTGACTGTGCATTTCTGGGACCGCCGTAATTTAAGAAACAATTTTTAAAAAAAACAACTAAAAATTGTTTAAAGTTAAAGTTACAGAGAAAAACGAAATTCATTATTTCAGGAATAGACACCGGACAATTAACGTGTTATTTTAGTTTGAAGATATATAAAGTGTTATCCACTTTACGCACGCATCATGTATCATGGTGATTGACATCGAAGTGTCGTTTCAGTTTTAAAGGTGTTATTTCAGTTTTATTTGCTCAATTTGCACCAGCGACGACCGACACCATATGAGATCTAACATAAACATTGCATTCTGTCCAACTCAATCACAAACATGGTCGCCTGCAGTACATTTAGTATGTTGCATATTATGACAGCGTTATGTGTGGTCAGCGGGCAAGTTTTCAGTGATGACCAAAGGACTGAAGAAATAACCAACAAAGGTGTCACTCCTGACCATAATGTCAGTGTCGCTGGGAACGGCACACAGGGGACACCATTTGATGACGCTGGCTCACGGTGGACAAGTGGTGGGAGCTCACTGCGGAATGGTAAAAACTTGAAGAATATTTGTGTCGTACAGAATTTCGTGATTTGTAAAAACCGTGATCAATAAACAGATGAATATTGTTAAGTATGCAAAAATGATTACGCTTAATGAATTACGATTACGTTAATCATAAAGTTGATGATGATGATGAGGATTGAGTACTTTTCTATCACTCATGCCCATGCTATTTTAGCATGCTCACAGCGCGCTGATGTCCTAAAATCTATTTAAAGACAAACGTCTTAAAATGGTTCTTAAATGACTTTTAACCATTTTCAATGTCCCTCAAAGATTGAGGCAAACCGTTCCACAATTTAGGCGTAATAGACAGCCAATAGTTAACTTGTTAACGTTTTTTCGTACATAATATAATATAAGATGAGATAAGAATCTTATAAAGATAGTTTTTTTTATTTAAAAAAAAAAAGGAAATTTTTTGTTGTTTTTTCATTCATCGTAAAAACTTAGGGTAACACACATCTCGGGTTAGGGTTAGGGTTAGGGTTAGGGTTAGGGTTAGGGTTAGGGTTAGGGTTATGAAATATAGACCTGGGCAACGGAAGAGAGTAGCAATGAATATAGACCACTATTCTGCTATGAAATTGAAAGACGCAATTATGCAGTTCTTTATTTGAAATATGCAGCCCGTAAAATCAAGTATGGTGAACTGGGATTTACCCAAAATTATAATTTTTTTTCATTGAACAATTTATGTGTGAGCAAAAATTTATCTAAACCCACGAGTGGTCATAACAGCCGATCTTCTGGATTTTTTCCCCCACTTTTACAACAGCGTTTGAATGAAACTAGTTTCAATACAATATGTGCCATTTTTTCACTGCATTCCACGTCAAGTGGAAGCTCTCTCATTCTTCGACAGCAGTTTGTTGAGTTTCATAAGGATGGGATGATTCTTAATTCGAAGATCTTAATAAACTTGCAATTGTAGGATGGCTGGGTAGACGTAGGATGGCTGGGTAGACGTATGATGGTTGGGTAGACGTAGGATGGCTGGGTAGACGTGGGGTGGCTGGGTAGACATAGAATGGTTGGGTAGAGGGAATGTGCACATTGGATGACTGCACAAATTTGACGAACCTTTCAGTGGCTTCAACAAGTTCTATTTGGCATATTAGTTCTTGTAGCGGCCATTTTATTTTGATATACAAAAAGTACAATTCGGCATTTCAAATCTTGCAGTAGCCATTTTATTTTAATTCACAAAATTCAAGCCAGGGAATTGTAACACATTTGTCTTTGGCTTTAAAAAAATGATATACTCGTTCTACACAGATTTCTAGAATTTTTCACTTTGCATCAGTAATCTTCAATCGGAGCAATGTTGAAAACTAATTTCACTTACAGGAATCTTGAAATTGGTAATTTCAAAATTATTTTCTATTTCTGAATCAACATGGTTCTGTCATTCGTTTTTTTTTTTTTTTTGTTTTACTATAAATCAACATTCTCTACAATGGTTTTCATCAAAAAAAAAAAAAAAATAATAAAAAAAATCAGATCTCAAATTGTTGCTGTGACTTTTGAGTCAGAGATGAGCAGCGTATTAACGAAAAGAAATGTCAAATTTCGCATAAAATTTGGGTTAAAATAATTATGACTAAACAGCTTATTCCTCTTTGTAATTTCATTAGGGAAGAGTATTTCGTGATATAATATAATGTCGCGAATTTTTATTTTTATTCGTTACAACTTCTTTTTTTTAAAAAATAGTTTTCCCACCTCTGACCTACAATAATCTATAGCTAACAAAATCGAAATGCCGTTGTGTCCTCCTACTAAACGTTTTAAGAACCAATGGTCTTGTCAATTATTGTCAGCTCGTCTAGTCGGTGGTAAATAGGTATGTGAATATTGGGTTTTGCCAAACCGGTTATCAGAAACTGGTTTAAACCAGTTATCAGTTTTTAAAATGATTTCCCCATTGTTCCGTACATCCAAATCAGCTTTACAAGACATTCTATTTAAGTCTTTCATTGTTCTGTACATCAAGATCAATTTCACAATGCACTCTATATAAGTTTTTTAATTGTTCCGTACATCAAGATCAATTTCACAATGCATTCTATTTAAGTCTTTCATTGTTCTGTACATCAAGATCAATTTCACAATGCACTCTATATAAGTTTTTTAATTGTTCCGTACATCAAGATCAATTTCACAATGCATTCTATATAAGTCTTTTAATTGTTCCGTACATCAAGATAAGTTTCACTATACATTCTATATAAGTCTTATAATTGTTTTTAAAATCATATTTTCTTTTTAAAAATGTGCAATTCAAAAGAAACATTATCCTTTAAAAATGTATTTTTTATGAAAATGATTTTCGTTTAGTTTGCAAGCTGGTCTAGTCACTTGTCAGATAGTCTAGTCACTTGTCAGATAGTCTAGTCACTTGTTAGATAGTCTAGTCACTCGTCAGATAGTCTAGTCACTTGTCAGATAGTCTAGTCGCTGTCGCTTTTCAGATAGTCTAGTCACTTGTCAGATAGTCTAGTCACTTGTCAGATAGTCTTGTCAGTTGTCAGATAGTCTAGTCACTTGTCAGATAGTCTAGTCACTTGTCAGATAGTCTTGTCAGTTGTCAGATAGTCTAGTCGCTGTCGCTTTTCAGATAGTCTAGTCACTTGTCAGATAGTCTAGTCACTTGTCAGATAGTCTTGTCAGTTGTCAGATAGTCTAGTCGCTGTCGCTTTTCAGATAGTCTAGTCACTTGTCAGATAGTCTATTCACTTGTCAGATAGTCTTGTCAGTTGTCAGATAGTCTAGTCAGTTGTCAGCAGGTTTCAACCTTTCATACATGTAATAAATTATCGTACACTTACAGGTGGCCATGGCGATCTTTTCCTTGGGACGTCACCAGCTCAAGGGGAGTCTTCTGACGTCTTACAAGCCAGACATTCTGATGTCAGAGCGAACTCTCAAAACGATCTAGCACACTCAGATATTCTAAATATAGCTCAGGGCGTGATGTCAATGACAGATGCTCCCAATGAGACGAAATGGATTGTCTCTGTGCCATTGAATCAAAACATGGACCGGGCAGTTCCTGTGCCAGATAACCCGGGCGTGGAACATGACGTGAAGCATATGGCAGAAAATTTTGAAATGGAACATAGCTTTAAGTCTTTGCCAGATAATCCGGACATAGAACATGACATGATGTCCGCGCCAGATAAAAATAAGGAAATAGAGCAAATTAATTTTTCTTTACCCTTGTCTTATACGTGGAGTGCAGAGCGGCGACCGACCACGGATAGTTTAGATGTTGGCATGTTCAAAACTAGTGGGTCTGCTTCAGCGAGGACTTTGCTTGTAGACGATTCTGACGTGATTTTCATGGGGCGACCGCCATCACGGAGCACACCTCTGCAGGGAGAGAGCATAGACGAAATGAAACTGGCAAATAACGAGGGGAGCTCTAAGCTTCTGCCGTCAGATGGTCGAAACGACTTATGGCCAGCCGTCGAGAGCTTGACGTCTGCCGAAAATATCTCCGCTCCAGACAAAGATTTGGGTGTTTTCCAGACACCCGAGTCTGAGAGAATCGAGACAAACCGGAACACAGGTCACGAAACCAATGAAGGACTTCACACGGATCTGCCATCTTTGCCCGCAGCCCAGCTCAAATCTTATAGTGCGGAAGTTGATTCTCGAATCGGGTCAGAAAGAGAAAGTGAACCACATACAGTTAGGAATGTTGAGCTCTCGTCTGACGTGCAAGGCCATGGGGTATTGGGTAAAAGAATAGAAGCCACCTACGGCTTCCACGGCAACGACCATATTAAAAGGCTTTTAGATCTTGATAGACAGCTGGAGCTCTACAAAAAGGAGGCTCGAGATAACGCAACGGCTGAGCAGCTTTCCTCGCAACTCAATTCATCGGGAGCCGTTGAGCTACCCAACGATCTGGTGGCACCAACAAGCCATGGACCGAACGGTGACCGATTGGATATATTACAAACAGACGGGGGGCACTTATACTTGTGGATGACAGATGCTAAAGACACGCCAGCAAAGGATTCATCACTTGAGAACAAACAGCTGCCCGGAGATATTTTGATGTATAACTCATTTCACGACAATGATCCGGCTAACAGAGCGGCAGATCAACATCCAAGGAATGAACAGCTGGTTCCAACAGAAATACTAAGTCCACTGCTGTCGACGGGTGATGCATGGAATGACGGGAACAATGACCCCATGCAAGATTCGGTGTTGCCTTATGAAAGGAGACCCCAGGCGCCTGCGCCACCGCAATTCTTTCAGTCAAATCTTTCAACGTCAGATTTGGGACCGGGAATGAAACAAAACAATCATATGGGCAACCAGCAAGACAATCAGATGGGAAACCATCAAAATAATCAAATGGGCAGCCAGCAAGACAATCAGATGGACAATCAGCAAGCTAATCAGATGGGCAGCCAGCAAGACAATCAGATGGACAATCAGCAGGCAAATCAGATGGGCAACCAGCTAGACAATCGTATGGGCAACCAGCAAGCAAATCAAATGGGCAACCAGCAAGACAATCGTATGGGCAACCAGCAAGCTAATCAGATGGGCAACCAGCAAGCTAATCAGATGGGAAACCAGCAAGCTAATCAGATGGGAAACCAGCAAGACAGTAATATGGGAAACCATCAAGACAATCAGATGGGTAACCCGCAAGACTATCAGATGGAGAATCAGCCAAATGAACATTTTGACAAATTGCTGAACCAGGATGCGAATATCCAGGACCACCATCAGGGTAATCAAATGATCAAACAACAGAGCAACCAAGAGAGCAGCCATCTGAACAAGCCACCGGGACTTACACCAAGAGAAGAAGCAGCGGAGACACAACGACATGACAACGGCAGGAGTTCATTCTTAGAAACCTTAGACACTCCCCACCGACATCTAGACCAGAGTTCAGTCAAACCCTACCAACAGCTAGACGCCATCCTAACAAACCAACCACAACAGCTGGACGCCATCCTAACAAACCAACCACAACAGCTTGACGCCATCCTAACAAACCCATCACAACAGATGGACGCCATCATATCAAACCAACCACAACAACTGGACGCCATCCTAACAAACCCATCACAACAGATGGACGCCATCATATCAAACCAACCACAACAGATGGACGCCATACTAACAAACCCATCACAACAGCTGGACGCCATCCTAACAAACCCACCACAACAGCTGGACGCCATCCTAACAAACCAATTGCAACAGATGGACGCCATCCTAACAAACCAACCACAACAGCTGGACGCCATCATATCAAACCAACCACAACAGCTTGATGCCATCCTAACAAACCCATCCCAACAGATGGACACCATCATATCAAACCAACCACAACAGCTTGACGCCATCCTAACAAACCAACCACAACAGCTGGACGCCATCATATCAAACCAACCACAACAGCTTGACGCCATCCTAACAAACCCATCACAACAGATGGACGCCATCATATCAAACCAACCACAACAGCTTGACGCCATCCTAACAAACCCATCACAACAGATGGACGCCATCATATCAAACCAACCACAACAACTGGACGCCATCCTAACAAACCCATCACAACAGATGGACGCCATAAAACCACCCACAACAGCTGGACGCCATCCTATCAAACCCACCACAACAGCTTGACGCCATCCTAACAAACCCATCACAACAGCTGGACGCCATCATATCAAACCAACCACAACAGCTTGACGCCATCCTAACAAACCCATCACAACAGATGGACGCCATCATATCAAACCAACCACAACAGCTGGACGCCATCCTAACAAACCCATCACAACAGATGGACGCCATCATATCAAACCAACCACAACAGATGGACGCCATACTAACAAACCCATCACAACAGCTGGACGCCATCCTAACAAACCCATCACAACAGATGGACGCCATCATATCAAACCAACCACAACAGCTGGACGCCATCCTAACAAACCAACCACAACAGCTGGACGCCATCCTAACAAACCCACCAAAGTCAGCAGAATTGAAATTAACACGTGACGACAAACCCGACTCAGTCTCACCGAACGACCAAACTTCGTCCTTAGGGAAAACCACCGACAACAGTGGATTGGCACGGCCAAACTCTTTCCAGCAACCCCCCAACCAAAAGACCACCAACCTGCTGTCGCCGTATGAGTTTAACATTTTCCTGGAAAGAGTTGTGTTGCCTTATTTGCAAGACGTCAAACATCGGTACCAACCTAAAGTTGACGATGCCACCGGACAGCCCAGCTCCCTGTCGCCAGAGAAAGGCGGATGGGCTACTAGACCCAGCGGCATGTCGGTCGCCAACCGTCGCGGCCAAGGCGAGAAGAGAAATCAGTTATTTCCGCTTGCCACGAAGACCGGTTTGGAGGATCACAACGACCAACCACAACGAATGAGGATGGATGATGTCAATCCAGTCCCCCAACGCCGTTATGATATTTTCCCCGGTCAAGGACTCCATTTGTACAACAATTTCATACCAGATAAAAAGAGCAGTGAGCATGTCGTTTATTATGAGCCGGGACCTCGCGTCCATTTTAATGGACTCAATCCCATGAACCAGTTCAATGAACCCAACCTCATGAACCAATTTAATGAACCCAACCCCATGACCCAATTCCATGAACCCAACCTCATGGACCAATTCAATGAACCCAACCCTTTGATAAAATTCAACGAGCCCAACCACATGACCCAATTCAATGAACACAAACCTATGACCCAATTCAATGAGCGTAACACCATGACCCAATTTAAGGAAGAAGAAATACCCAGATTCTCGGCATCAAATTTCATGAAATTCTCTTACAACAATCCAGTATTTCGGCAGCCTTTCCATCTACGCCTAGATGACTATCAGGGGCCGTTCAATCTACGCCCAGGTGACTATCAGCAGCCGTTCAATCTGCGCCCAAGTGGCTATCAGCAGCCGTTCAATCTTCAACCGAGTGGCTATCAGTTGGCCGCGGAAATAAAACCCACGGGTTCTCACGTCGAACCCTCACCACATGGCTACGTCCCGTACACTCAAAATGATCCCTACGCACCCAAGCCGGCGCCCTTGCAGATCTGGGAGCACCGACCACGACTGTCCGAATCATATGATACGCAGCAGTGGGTATGGCTGAACGGAGATCCCTCTAAAGAGCCACATAAAGACCCACCCACAACAGAGTATAAAGAAACGTCCAGCCCAACAATGAAGGAGTTGGTTGACGAACTCCTGAGGTCTTACTCCCGCAAACGCCATTCAAACCTACATGAGTTAAATAGGTCATCGCCGCCCCTGGATCGATCCATTCTAACTCACGTGCCAGAAAGTTCCAAATTACCGAGATATGACCATCTGGATCACTCAAATCTGCCAGTCTTTCAATCTGATGTCAGCTTCTCTATCCCTGTCGACGTTGGGGATAAAGGTGCGAACCATCAGGCAGAATTCCCAGTACAAAGTCTTAAAATTCGCAAAAAATTCACCCCATGGGAACCGCCCGTTGGGATCAGCAGCAGTCAAAAAACAATCCCAGAAAACCGTTCTTCGTTATTAACCCCTCAATTGTACAAAGCCAGGTTGTCAGATGGTGACATTAAACCCTCACTCCAGGCTCGTCCGAATCTTCCACAAAACAAAGACAAACACAGTCGGCCATTTTTCTCTCCTCGACGACATCAAACGCACATCTGGACAGGTTCAATAAAGGCTGAGGAGCAGCCCAACAAAACATCGCGAAAAGCGATCCTAGAAAACCTCAACTCCGGGAAGCCCGTTGATTACAACACACCCGTGACGTCGACATCACGTAAGCAACCAACCAGCGATCAGCACGTGCCAATTCCGTTGAGCCGGTATTACAGAAGCCGTGACTCCGCCCACAACAACATAAACTCTCTAAACCAGAGATTTCGCAACAAAAAGTTATTTCTGAGCCAGCAGTTCCAGATGTTCAACGACGAGAAGTTCCAGGTGAAGAAGCAGATGGCCGGCTTGGAGGAGAAGAAAAAATCGCGCGTGCAGGTTCTGCCTTGGGGCATCAGCGTCCAGCCGCAGCAGAATGACCTCTACGAGCTGAGTGAAGGTCACTCTGTTGAACTTCCGTCGTACCTCAGCCGCTCGCCGTCCCCACAGTTCGAACCGCCCTTTGAGCCAAGAGACCCCGGCATGCTGTTTGGACACGATCAAAGTGGTCAAGACAAGATTAACACCGGACTCCCAGGCGACGAGGACAGCGAGACGACGAGACAGCGAGCGGAAATCGGTCCTCAGCAGATAACATCTTCTGGATCAGGAGTGGATCTTGGAACTGAACATGAGCCCAAGGCAGGACTACAAGCGGGGCAGGAAGATGTTACCGAAGCCGGAACAGACGTTGGAGGGACGACAGATACCATTGTTGACAATTTGGACGTAGCGGGGATCGGGCTCCAAATAAATAATAACTTCACTGAAGTCTTTGAGAGACCTGAAAATTCCACGGACGAAATGGATTTGTCTCTTTCCAGAGTTAACGATACGATCGTAAGGGGGCAGAATTCTTCACAGGTCATCGCCGAGCCGGGAGTCGCCATGTCAACTCCACCGCAAACTATTGACGCTGCGGAAAGGAATTTATCTTCGTCACGGGATCTTTTTATGACCTTCCTGGGAGCGAATATGAGCGATCAAAGAATTGATGATATTCAAGGTCATGGTAGAGCCATGGGAGTAGGTCAAGGGGATGACGTTACATCCGGCGCCGCCCATGGAAGCAACACGGCTGACAGGTTCGGTTCTCTCCCAAACAATGAAGAAATCATTACAGATCTTAAGCTCATTAGAGAACCAATGCACACAGACTCGGGCCACTCCGTGCACACAGACTCGGGCAACTCCGTGCACACAGACTCGGGTCATTCCGCTTTTCGCCTGAAACGAGACGCCCACGTCATTCCGTGGTATAAACTGGGAGCTGTTCGGTCCTCCTCGCGCGCAGGGGGAAACGATCGTAGAAGGCAATATAACACAAGGGCTAAGCGAGAAAAACACATCAATGAGTATGAAAGTCGAGTCCCTTTGGTCGCTGTCAACATGGCTTCCATTGGGGACAACCTCATTAGGAAAAGGCGCGGTGTGGTCAAGATGGCCGCATACAAAACGCGATTGTTGACTGCTAGAGAAATCAATGACGTCCCACAAAACGGTAGAGCGAATCTGAAAAACATTCCTTCGTGGATCAGCCCGGGCGCCACACTAATCAATGGGGACCAAACGTCTGACGGTGGTCACGGTTATCAGAACAACCCTGGTAAATACGAGCAAGGCGCCCACAGAGCGGCCCCTGGCAATCTGATGCCAACCGAAGAACAGCGGACAGGCGAGGCTAAAGATTTAGTCGTCACCGGGAATTTCACAAAGACAGAGGGGCTGAGGTATGAGGTCATCGCAGACGACACGCAGAGCTCCCCAGATCGATACAGATACGTGAAACTTAAAGAAAAGAACACTGACAGATTTGAAGAACAGAACGTTGACAGATTTAAAGAACAGAACATTGACATATTCAAAGATCAGAAGATTGACAGATCCATGAGAAGTAATCATCAAAATCAGGCTATAGATCGACTGTCCACCAGAGTGACGCAAGAACAGTCTGTGAAACAGCGACAGCATAATTTAGACCAGCAACAAGAATCACTTGCTCAAAAACAGAGGTTAACATCACAACGAGGCAGTGATCCCGAAGCGGTGTATGATTGGTCGGGACTAGCGCCCCAAGATTCGACCAATCAAAACATTGAGGCTGGAACCAGTGACGAATACGGCGGTCTGACCGCTCCGAGAGGAAACAGTTACGCGGACCGCTATTTACAGAACCAAAAACTGAAACAGGTGACCGTTTCCCGCCAAACCAGGATCCATAATCCATTTGTCCACACGCAAGGTCAGCTACCTTACACCGACAACAGCTACCCGCAGAGCCAGGCGTACACATACAAGGACCAAGACACGTTTGCAATCCCTGACGCTGTCCAAACCCCAACCGACGTCTCGCAGAGAGCGTCTCCACCGAAATCCAGGCCTACGTTCCAGTCTGAGCCAGCCGACTACCTGACCCACCAGGGGTTGGACAAGCCTAAACAAACCAGCGGTCCAGAGACCGCCAACCTAATGGTGTCACCGGATTCCACGAATCAGCCCAGCCAGGGGCAGACTTCTTACGTGGACCGTTTTCTATCTCTTAAGAACCCTTATGGCGTCGCTCCCACCCAGCCGATGGTGGTGCACTACCAGCCTTATGTCATGTATTACACTTATCCGTATGGGTATGTGTCTGGTGATCCAAGCTACACGGACGAATACAATCCATCTAACGACAGGTATCAAGAAGATACAAGTGAAGATAAGTCGGGTGAGGAAGACAAGGCGGGTGAGGAAAATAAGGAGGAAGATGAGGATGAAGAGAAAAGGGATGACGAGCAGAGCCAAGCTGTGTATGATAATAGAGATAATCAATACACTGGTACAAAACAAGGGTATAATGGTGGATACACTGGTACAAAACAAGTGTATAATGGTGGATATTCTGGTATAAAACTAGGGTATGGTGGTGGATATGCTGGTACAGAACAAGGGTATAATGATGGATATGTTGGTATAAAACAAGGGTATAATGATGGATATGTTGGTACCAAGCAAGGATATGATAGTGGATATACTGGTATAAAACAGGGTTATAATGATGGATATGCTGGCACCAAGCAAAGGTATGATGGCAGCTATACCGGTATAAAACAATGGTATAATGATGGATATGTAGGTACTAAGCAAGGGTATGATGGTGGATACATTGGAATAAAACAAGGGTACAATGATGGATTTGCCGGTACAAAACAAAGCTATAATGATGGATACGCCGGTGCAAGACAAGGATATAATAATGGATATGCCAGTATAAAACAAGACTATAATGATGGATACACCAGTGCAAAACAAAGTTATAGGGACAAATATTTCAGTACAAAAAAAAGTTATGAAGATGGATACGCTGTCAGCGGTGGCTATGGCGGTACGTACCCAAATGGCCTGAGAAATGGCAGAACTCATGTGTCAAATACAGGGCCAGCCAACAACTTCTGGTTGGATAAAACTGGTAAGAAATGGAATCCAAATTCATACACGAATAACTTATGGGATGAAAATACGCACAGCAATAACTTATGGGGTAAAAAGGGCTACAATAATAATGGATGGATCAGCAACTCAAAGAATAATCGCTGGGGGAAAAACAATAATCTGGGTTATTGGAGCAAGGCCTCTTACAACACGGGTGGACACACTTCGTACGACGACCCGGTGTGGGGACAAAATACTTACAGCACCGGAGGCTGGGGACAAAACGGTGACTACAAAAACAACTATCACACCAAAGGCCAGTATAACCCGAGGTTCATCAGAGGAACTCGAAAGCAAGGCGGCAAATTCGTGGATTCCCAGATCGGCAGGCCCGGTTACTTGGGCAGGTTTGATCCCAACGCGCACAACAGTGGCAGCAGATATTATCAACGGGGAGATCTCAAGTCGTCCGCCGGTCACGACTTGGATGAGGATGCCGTCTTTCAATTCGTGTTAGCTCAGAAAAAATTCAACAGCCAAAATCCCGGAATGACCTCCAACATGGGCTACGGGGACTCCCCGAGCTCCAGCTTCTACCATGTTCCAGTGGACGGCAGTAAGACATCCGAGACGAAGGGCGGCCATGGTGATCGTGTGGCGGAGGAAGCGGTGGAGCACTTCTTGTACACAAAACCTCGGTACGGGAAGAAGGCAGACGGTCTGCTTGGAGGGATTCTCAACATCTAACCACAGTTGGGGTTGTACAGTATTCGCAGATTTTAAAAAGAAATTTCCACAACTGTTATACGGCTTAAAGAGGTGGGGGGGGGGGGGGGGGCTGCTGTTGTATTTTACGTTTTATTTTATTTTATTAATTGTGGTGGGATTTCTTGAATAGACACAAGACTCCTTTCACATTGTTGAAAATACAAGTCAATTAAGACTATCGTCTAAAAGTCGGACATTGCTATGTAGAAACCAGATGATATGGGAATCAAAATTGTATGAGAGTGACAGGCTTAGATGTCATTGGAGTCACAGATTTTGAAAATATGGGATTCAGTCAGATTTTATGTGAGTCACAGAAGTGACTTAGATGTCACGGAGTCACATACACAGATGTTAAGGGAGTCATAGACATGAATGTTTATGGGAGTCAGAGGTGATGGGAGTCACAGACTAAGACGTTATGGGAGTCGTAGGCATTGATGTTATGGGAATCACAGACTAAAATTTTATGGGTGTCAGAGGTCATGGGAGTCAGACGTGGATTAATATGTTATTGCCCTGTGTGTAGTTTTCAACACCCCCTCCCCACCCACTAGGTGCAGCTATTTTGTTTTAAACCGTGCCTCCACCCCCACCACGAAAAATATCAATAAAATGCTTTAAAATGTTCAAGTAGAGAAAACATAAACATTTCAACATTGTATCAAAAGATATTTTTTTATTGGCTCAAAATGCATAGACTTATAATAACAAACTTCTCTGTATTTGGAAGCATGGAGAAGATGCCTTTCTTCAGAGTACAGCTGCCTTTCTTTACAAGTTATTTTTTTCATGTTTTCAAAGGATGGTGCTTTACATATTGATCCCATTCCAAACACACACACACATAAATACTATCATGTCTCTTCAACAATGTCTCACTCTCATCTAATTTTTGACATGGGCAAAAATGTGAAATGTGACCAGAATCAAATTTTTTTTTTTTCTTTTTTAATAGCTGTACATGAATTTAAACTGAAGAAAATATTGGATAAGAAATACTTTTCATTTTAATATTAACATTAACATGCAGTTTTTTTTTAATTTATCAAAATGTTTAAGGCTTCAAGCTTTCAATATGCCCGGGCCAAATATGGCCTCAAATGTGTGCTACATATACCTGACCTAAATATGGCCTTGCATGTGTGTTACATATACCTGGCCCAAATATGGCCTCACATGTGTGTTACATATAACTGGCCAAATTTGGTCTCACATGTCTGTTAATTATACCTGGCCCAAATATAGCCTCCCATGTGCGTTAAATTTCCTGGCCCAAATATGTCCTCACATGTGTGTTTTAGAATAAGACAAAGATTAACATGATTTAACAAGCATTGTCATTCATCTTGACACAGATCTGACAGTGTGATTGCACATCCCATAAATGATAATAGTCTCAAATCTTTTAATTGGAGAGCTCATATATGAAAAAAAAAAGTAGAGATAGTTTATGAGGCATACCACAATGCTCAATCTGCCGCATAGCATTCAACAGTTTTGATCTGAGTCCCCTAGCAGTAAACTATTTTTAGTTGGTTCTTTTCAAACAAACTTTGTATAGGGCACCTGGCAACTTGTAAATGTGATGGACCATTGACATATCAAACAAATACAGTAGAACAAATAGCTTGTTATGTATATTATTTTATAAACATTTTTTGTATAATTATGACAATTCTATAATAAACAGTGGATGAAATCAAGATTTTTAAAAAAAAATTTGTTTTACTGTAATATAATTATTGTGTATTTTACTAATGACAGTGTTTATTTTATACTAATTGTCTGTTGTTGTACCGGCTACTAACTAGACTGATGGTATTGAGATTAATGTCCTGACAATGAGCTAATGTTTCTTTAGAGAGTTCATGCTGTCATATTTTAAATAGCATACAGCAAAAAATTCTGCCTGAAAGAAAACACTGATCTTAAGACCAGCTCATCCAAATCCAAACAAAATCTTTAAAATGTGTCCATTGCTGCACTGAGTCTGAAGTTATCAACAAATATCAACAAAGGTCACCCGCAACAAAATGAATCATTTGAAAGACATATTCAAATAAAAACATATTAGCAGGAAAACAATTTTTTGCTACAAATATTTCTTATACATGTAAATAAGTTAAACATAATAATACAACAAAAAAATACTTCAAAAAGCAAAAACTATTTTTTTCAAAAGTATGCAACGTGCCTATGATACTAGGTACTTTTTCAATCCCTGACAAACTGAAATTAAGCAATGAAATATTGGTTGATTAAACCTTGTGTATTTTGAATAGAAACTGTCACTTAAAACACAACAGCCCCCCCCCCACTCCCTTTACACATGACAGTCATGGTCATCTTTGCACAAGTTACAATTATAATAGCAATATATTTGTTTCTTAGTAGTTTGTACAAATCTGGCTAAGGTTTGGGAATTTATTAAGTTAAAAAAACAACTTGGAAGAACTAGTTTTAGTCATTTAGCTTCTCAGCACCGAAGCGTGACATTAACAATCTGAAGACAAATAAACACCAAAAGAAGAACATGGTTAGTAACAATAAATACAAAATCTATGCCGTTTGTATCTAATACTAGGAATGCTGCCTTTTCATTTTGGCCAGTGAAGTCTGTATTAATTAGCCTTTAAGTTCTAAGCAGAGTTTTTCATCTGGTTAATTTCAGTCCTTGCCATTGGGTTCACACAATTCACCAGGATCTTACTAGGTTCACATATACAATTCACCAGGACTTCACTGGGTTCACAATACCATTCACCAGGACAGAATTGAAAGTGCTGAAGAGAAGGAGGAAAAAAATGTTTGCAAAAACATTGTTGATTCTTCTCTTTATCCAAAATATTATATATACTTGAACAGCATTCCATTGGAACTTTTTAAAAATAAAATAAAATAAAAACAATATAATATACTATTTAAGCTTTTATTTATTTTAATGAAAAGTCAAGATTAATTTTTTTTTGTTAAAGATTACTTACAACATGCCTAAACTTTTTCCTTTTTTTTTTTTTTAAACCACCTTTTTTTTAAATAAAATTCACAACCCCCTCTACTCACACACACACACACATTCCCTTTTTTTTAACATAAGATGTCAAATTTAGCTGTGTAAGAATAGTGAAAAATGGAAATGAGAATATCACATACAAACATTTTTCTTTTTACCTGCGAGCAAAAAAGAAGGCCAAGCAGGTGATTGCAAGGCTTAGTATTTCATAAAGAAGTGTCTCTCATCAAGGTATTTTGATGACGTCACTCATCGAGGTATTAGATGACGTCACTCATACAAGTATTAGATGTCACTCATAGAGATATAAGATGACAACACACATCCAGGTATTATATACATTTGGCTGACACACACATCTTGGACAAGTCCTGGTAGTTTTGGATAAACTCTGCCAGTTGCTCAAGTCCAGTCAGCAACATGGATCTGCAAGAGACCAAAAAAGAAACATATTTTTACAATAAACAATGTTGTTCCTTATTACGTTTTTTAAGTAAAAGTTGTTGTTTTTTCAACCAATAAACATTATGGAATATTTATTGAATACAATTTTAAAAATTTAATTTTATAAAATGTTATCTAGGACAAGATGATATCTAGAACAAGATGATATCTGGGACAAGATGATATCTGGGACAAGATAATATCTGGGACAAGATGATATCTGGGACAAGATGATATCTGGGACAAGATGCTATCTACCTGTTTTTTCCTTGTGTAAAATGGTTGATGAGTTCATCAGTATTCACAGCGTGGCTGGGGTCTGGGGTGGACAATTTGGCCCGTTCAAAAAACATGTTTAACTGTGAAGCCAAACGGGCAAACTCAAACTTGTGTTCAGTCAGAACAACGGGTGAAAGTTGGAGACAGCTGGAAGATAGGTTGTTCAAATAAATTAGATGTAAACAAAAAAAAATGAACAGAATCAGTCTTAAATAAAACTTAAATTCAGTTAAACTTGTTGATTAATGTAGTGTAATTAGTAATTAAACTGTTGATTAAACCACTTAAAGTCCTCTCTCAATGACACTTGACAACATACCAATCTGTCAAAGCATTTTCCCAGTGACATGATATGTGGCAGCATACAAACCTTTCAAAGTCTTCTCTCAGTGACATCAGCAGTGACAACATGGTGTGTAGCATTTCAACAGCCACACTGTAGTTCTCATGTAAATGCCCTTGTCTCAGAATGTCAGTGATCTGTGTTCTAAGCAAGTAAAGAAAAAGTTGTGATGCACTCAGTATGCAATCATCTTAAAGTACACATACATGTAAATATATATATGATTATTCAGAATAATTGTGGCATAGTTGTGGCTAATTGTAACCAGTTGTGGCTAACTGTGACCTGGTGATAGCCAATTGTGACCAGATCTGATACATGTAATATAAAAATGAAAAGATTAACCAATAAAATCAGATGTTTTGTCTTTGATATGAGTAAAAAATGTCTTGATTGATGAGTCCTTCATTCATTCGTGAGGGCAGCACTCAATTACCTATAGCCACAAATACTGGACCTCAGTCACCTATAGCCAAAAATTATTAAACTCTTTTGCATGTAGCCACAATTAGGGGACTTCTATTACCTATAGCTACAAATAGAGGATCAATCTCCGTATTGATGAAAAGGTTAATTAATCCCCAACCTCAAGAAGTGGATCTTTCTTGCCCGCCCCCGAGTGGATCTTACTTGCCGGCCCCGCTGTCGTGCTACGCTCTCATTTGCTGCTTCCCTAAGAACCAAATCCACACAAAAGAACATCGAGATGATCAACTTTGATGCAATGAGTGATTCTCATTTAAAGGACCTGGCAGTAATATATGACTGGGAGGTCCAAACATGGGCGGAAGAGTATTTTTCACAGGCATTGCCCCAGCTAGTACAAATATAATGGCTAGTAATCCTAAAGAGTTTAAGAAGGACAACCCCTGCAACAATCTGGTACACTAAATGTAACATTCTACAGATAACTATGCTTACTTGACATCAAAGATTGCATTCTACAGGTAACATTGCTTACTTGACATCAAAGATTACACTCCAAACAGTTTGAAACTTAGTAAAGGCACCAGAGTCATTTCCAATAACCTCTTGACTTTCTTCCATCTGTAAGGTGAGAGAGTGTTGTGAGATGGCGTTGTGAGACAGTGAGGTGCGATGGTGTGCATGGAACAGTGAGGTAAGCTGGTATGGTGAGACAGTGAGGTGAGATGTTATGGTGAGAAGGTGTGTTCAGGCAGTGTGGTCAGATGGTGAGTATGAGACAGTGATGTGAAGACAGTGTTGTAAGATGGAGTGCATGAGACATTGTGGTGAAACAGCAGCTAAATGTCCAACCAGGCAAGTTTGATCATGTATATAAAAAAGGCTCCACAAATTAGCAGATGGGAAAAAAATCTTATTATTTATATTTTTATTACCTTTATACTGTATGAAATGTCACTCTCTTCTTCACGTTTTTTCATATCATCTGTTGAAAGGGCTGAAGTTTTAATGGCATGAGTCAATCCGATGGGAGAGTGCTTTATAGTGGTCACTGAGGTGGCTTGCTTTAACAAAGTGTGTGTTGGTACTGCATGAGTTGTACTTGGGTCAGCAGAGTCAGCACTGATTGGTGGTAGACATTTATTGATTTTAGACTGAATCTGAAGAAAAAACAAACATTTCAGTGGTAACATCAATCAAAACGTAATGTGAAATAATTATACCCCAAAAAAGTTTATAGCAACCAGTTATATCAATGAAGAGTTAAGGATGAAGGATGACGGGAAATAACCAGGGCAAATTAATTACAACTTGTTATAACCATGACAAGTTTGTGACAACTGGTTATATCAATGACAAGTTGGTGGCAGCTGGTTATATATTGACACAATGATGACTGGCTATATCAATTACAAGTTGTTGACAACTGGCTATATCAGTGACAAGTTTGTGACTACTGGTTATATTAATTAGATTTCGTGTATAAATTCCCCCCCCCCCCCCCCGCGCCCCCACATCAACCTCCAAGTTTTTTTGTTTTTTTTATACTAAGATTTCTATATATATAAAAAATAGAATACCTTGTTTTCTTGTGATTCATTCTTTGAGGCTTGAAATTTATCAAGCTCACCTATCAAGATGATAAAATTTATATATGTAATTATAAAGAAATTTACTAAAAAAATACTTCATTGAATTGAAATCAGCAGTCCACCTCCCCTTCCTCCAACCAACATTTGTTCCAAGATCACTCCACCTTCCAACCCCCTACTCACGCAACAAATATTTGTTCCAATATTCCAATATCACTCCCTCACCACCCCGGTCCAACAAACATTTGTTCAAAGGTCACACTGTAACCTATTATTGATTTTAACCCCCTGGGCTCAGGTCAACATGTCTGTAGTGGCATGCTGTTTTATAGATGCAGCCACCGACTCCCTAGCACTACTTGGGGTAGCTCATACAAATGATTCTAAAACACAGCCAGTGAGGGGGACTGTTCCTAGGCAAACATCTTCATCCTAGCTACTTCGTGAACTATTTTGGAGGTGGAAACTAAATGTAGAAACCCTATTAAGAGGACTTCCAACACCTCCCATGATGGGAAGTGGGGTGGGGGTGTGAATTAGGACGTTAATGTACCATCCTGACCCTGAAAGTTCGATTGCTAGTGTTGTAAAACGGGCAGCACCACCAACCGACAACATGCGCTTTGGTTGGGGTGGCCCCCCGTCTGCTAGTGAAGCGAGTGGAATTGCAGGTTGTGGCTATCCTAACAGGAGTGTACCTTCAACGTGGGGGTAGGTGCTAGGGGAGGGCAGGAAGAGCTTTGGCCCTCTGGTGTGAATGTACATATTATTGATTTAAAATAAAACCAAATACAACACCTGAAGTGGAAATTACTTTTGAACTGTCTGTGAACTTCGACCTCGGAACTTTAAAATGAGACCAAAAATTCTGAATGGAAAAATATAAAATATTTTTTTAAAGAAATAAAAATTGATTCAAAAAAGTTTTCACACTGAAAGAACATACAGTAAATATGTTCCACTTTTTGGAAAATAGCTGATACTCAGATAATTAATTTTTTACAAGTATAAATCCTCAATGTTGCTTTGTGTTTACACATTCAGTTAGATGTCAATATTCTTGATGTTGAAAATTCGGATTGCCTACTCAGAAAAACGTGTCTACTGAGTGAGAATTGAAACATGATTGAAAGCAATAATTGCAACATGAATGAAAGTGAGAATTACAACATGATTTAAAGTGAGAATTACAACATGATTTAAAATGAGAATTACAACATGATTTAAAGTGAAAATTACGACATTATATAAAGTGCATACTTTCGCATCCCTAAACATGACTAAAAACATCACCAAAAACATGTTCATGGGCATCGCCATGACAGTAACCTTTACCAAATCACACAGTAAACCGTGACGTCGTTATTTAAAACACATGGACATTTAACACACAGACCAAGATCTTATTTCAAAACAATGAATGTTTGTTTCAACAAATAATGACATGCACAACACTAGATGGGATTTGAAACAATGGGCTGTCTGGGGTTTTTCTTTTATTTCTAGTTTTCCAATAAAATAGTGATTGTAAGCCATGTTCAGATTTTGATATTTAATTCACTGAAGTGAGGACCAGGTCAAAAGGGGGATAGGAGAATCCAGATGAAAGAGTCAACACATGTCTAACATAGTTTATATAATACTGTTATATGTCTTGGTCCTATTTATATAATATTCTAAGATAACTTTATCATTGCTTGGCGTGGAAATCTAAGGTTGATGGATCTAATGGACATTCTGTCGTTTTAACAAAATTAATTATTACTCTCATCCTATAATTGGGACAAAATTAATTATTTAAGCCCATCCTATAATTGTGACAAAATTAATTATTTGAGCCCATCCAATAATTGTGATGAAATTAATTATTTAAGCCTGTCCTATAAATGTGACAAAAATTAATTATTTGAGCCCATCCTATAATTGTGATGAAATTAATTATTTAAGCCCATCCTATAATTGTGACAAAAATTAATTATTTAAGCCCATCCTATAACTGTGATGAAATTAATTATTTAAACAAAATAGTTACATCTGTACTAGCTGCCTTAATCCCCATAATGATTGCCTTGTTGATGAGATTGATGTCCCTTGTCACTAACATCACCATACTGGAAGGATCTGTGAATAACAACACAGGTTGTTATTTTTTACAGGATGATAGTTTCATTTTGGATGGTCTTGCAAATTCATTTTAAAAAATTCGTGATAACTATAAACAAATATACACCTAATCACTCTTGAAAGATATTCAATGTGTAAGACAATTCCTTTTAAGCTTTGTTTCTTGAGGGAATCTGATCCATTTCAAATCAGACATGTTGTATAACAATGACAGCAGTTGTAGATCAATTAGTTGTGTGTCGTAAAACAATCACAACAGTTGTAGAGTGGCCAAGAGGGCTCTATAGATTTTAATTGAGTTAAATAAAGTCATTTTATTTACACATAATATGGTTAAGTCTTAAAACTCTAAGGTACGTACATTTTTTTTCACACTGTAAACAGCATTGCAGGATTCTGTCATCATTACTATGAAATGGCAGATTTGTTGGTTCAGAAGCCTTAAAAATATAAAACAACAAATACATTTAAATATATTTTTTGCGTGAACTATTTATTAAAAAGGCCATTAAGACTACTATGAAATGGATCAGTAAGACTAACTATGAAAAGGATCATAGTATCTTTTTAATGGCAATATATTTTCTACATTCTGAAAATGATTTATTGTCAATCTTCCCCGTTTTTCTAGGGATGTGTTGATTTATATGCATACATATGTGTGTATGTTTGTTACTCACCTCATGTGGAGTTTGCCCAACCAACTTTGAATTTTGTGAAGAAAGATACCTGTGTATCAGTCGGACAGCAGCAGCTGCCTTCTTGGCTATGGGCTGATTGTGACAAAATATTGCTTTATTAGTTTTACCTCAATCAATATATTATTTGTACCGGTATACATAATAATTGCCAAGTCTAGAAGGAAGAAATGATAAAAACAATTTTTTTACAGCCAAAAAAAAAAATAATAATCTAAAATTGTTATCCAAGAATAAAAATTAGATTTTGTGTTTAGGCTAAGATTCAAATATGAAAAAATTAAAGCTTACAGAATTGTTAACTGAACTTTTTCCATTTTTGAGATAGTCCAGTTCTTGCATCACAGCCCATGGTAAAACAAGTCTCAAAGCACCATAACCTATCAGCATTGAACCAAGTCAGTGGTAAGATTCACATTAAAACAAATGTTGGAGCACCATGTCAAGGGTAAGAATCTCATTAAAGTGTACATCACAAATGAATATTACTCACTGTAATGTATTATTTGAAAATGATTTTTTTAAAAACAACTTGCAAAAATCTTGGTACAAAAAAAAAAACCCAGTAGGAATGATATTTAAAAAATTATCGTAAGTGTCAAAAAGGGATGAACATGCCATGGCTACAATTTCTGCAGGTCTGATATACATAAAAGGACAGCGAGGCAAACTGATCAATATGTTCAGTGATAGAAACACCATGATGGAATATGTTTTCACCACTTTATTTATTGTACAAAACATGAAATTGCAAATCAAAACACACTGCAAATGTGTAGTCAGGGTAAAATTGGGATTCATTAAAATGTCTCTCAGGTCTAAATAACATCAGAATTAACCGGTGTGCTTCTGCGACTGTTATAAAATCACATAATCACTGTTAAAGTCAATATTGTCATTAAGGAATTGAGGTTTCATGATGTATGATGGGTGATAAATACTTGAAAAGTCTCAAGTGTAATTTGTTCTAGCTTAAAATTTATTATCTTATTCAGAATGTTTACCCTAATGCTGAACATGAATTGTACAATGTAATCAAAACACAATTTCTATTAATTTGGTTTAATAAAACAAATGTTCGTTTCTTATCTTATACTTTATTACATCATCATTGGTCTTATTTGTAGATTTTCACCAGTGCTAGAGATGGAATTATAACATTCTCTTATGCCTCTCAGTGCAACACAAAACCACACCGTAGTAAAACTACAGACACATTTCAAGACATTACGATCAAATGTCTCAAGAAGAATTCTGGGATCCCATTTGATTTTTATTATATACAAAATTTCTCTGGAAATATTCCCATTCTGGGAAATCCGGGGTACAATGTTTTAAAATACCAATTTTCAATTTTTAAAAAAATTGTTGCTATAAATCAAGACCTTTAAAATCTACTTAAATCTGCTGAATTATAAAGCTTAGACTCTCTAGTAAACAAGTTCTCAAGGGTTTGTTTACAGTCGATACTACATTTATTAGAAGTAAAGTGACTCACAACCGTTATACATTTAAAAAACAATATCAATAAGTGAAGATGCTTATAAATTATACATTTACTGCCAAAGATTTATACCTGGTACAGTTGTAGTGATGAGATTGTCAAAAAATTGAAGGTTGGAAATCAAGACATTCGTGTCTATAACAAATACAACAGCCTGGGGAAAAAACGTAGGGAGATACTTTAAAATTGATGAAATCTGGGGGAACGTTGAGTAGGGGATAGCTAAGGTTATTTTTTTTTTTAAGAACTGAATCCAATATGATGGATTGAAACCATGGGTTACAATGAAATGCCATGAGATGGAATTAAACGCCATGAGATGGAATTAAACGCCATGACAGGGATTTGAATTCCATGACACGGATTTGAATACCATGAGATGGAATTGAATGCTATGAAATGCAGTTGAATCATTGTAACTAAAATCAGGATTTAAAGAGATGTAGTGAATTTTCTTAGTTGAATTATTATCTAAGAAAAGTGACCAAGGGAAATATATTTTATATGTAAAGATGAAGTTGTATAATAGCCTTATAATTAAAGAGTAAGAATTATACAAAGAGCTGGAATCTTTAACTGCTCCTCCTAACCTGGCAAAATCTAATATACTTGAATCATTGAACCAGATCAATTAGTTATTGATATCATACTATAATTTATAATAATCTACACCATTATTAGCCAAACAAGGCACATAATTTCATTTATGAAAATAAGATTTTTTAAATGTATGAAATTCACAAAGTTTGTAAACAATGACCTTGACCTTACTTGTATTGGTGAATATGAAGTGGTGTCAACAACAGATGCTTGGCTGAGATTATTATTTGTGTTAAATACCATTTCTGTAAGAGTACCTGAAGGCTGGATTACAATAACAAAAACAGTGAAAAATCTTTGTAAGTACAATATTTAGATTTCCTCTTTCAAAGTTGTAAAAAAACTGACAAATTTCAGTTCATTTCTATTTAAACCTGAACTTTAACTATAAATTACAAATAATATTTTTTAAATATTCTTTATTTGTTTATTACAGCAGCCATTTTTAAAAAATCAAACCTTTCATTTAATTTAGTGATAAACAATGTACATACTATTATAAAACATCATGGTGGACATAATCTCTGAGCACAATGTGCTCATTAGTTGCTGAAATGTGCACCTAATAAACAAATTAAATTTCAGAAGCACTTTACATTTTTGTAGGTTATTATGACATGTATAGAAGCTATAACAAACTGAGTGAGTTACATAACAAAGTAGAGGTGTCTTCTTCTTCTTCTTCTATATCTTAAGGGCCCACGATCAATTTATTGATCATTTTGGCTCCTATGCATGTAGATGGGATTTGCAATGTTTCTGTTACTGGTGGTGATGAGGAAATTATGCACTCGGGGTTTGAAGGCTTGAGGCAATAGACACAAATGTGTCTAGTGTTGTCGCCTCAACTGTTCCTTTTGAAAGATGGTTCCAGTCCCTGATTGTCTTGGGCAGGAATGAGCAGCTCCTATACTGGCTTCTTGCTGGTATGAGCCTGAATTGCCTGTCATGGCCTCGTCGCTGTCTATGGGGGAGAGGGACGAGTTTCTGTTTAATACTGGAACAGTGGACCAGCCCATTATTTATCTTGTACATCATGGAGAGCCTGGATTGTCGTCGTCGTTTCTCCAATGGTGACCAGCCTAGTGTTTCTAGCATGCTGCCAACACTAGAGGTATTCCTGTAGCGGTTTAGGACAAAGCGTGCTGCTCGTCGCTGGACCGCCTCCAACCTGTCAATGCTCTTCTGGGTAAATGGGTCCCAGACTGAAGATGCATAATCTAAAATCGGACGGATAAAGGCTTTATATGCTCTTTCTTTCACACAGGAGTTGCCAATCTTTAGATTTCGCCTTAAGAACCCCAAGGCTTGGTTTGCTTGGTTACATACATTGTTAATATGCTCGTCCCAGCGGACCTCTCTTTGAATGGTAACACCCAGGTACTTTACGGAGGAAACTTGCTCAAGAATATGGCCGTGCAGTTTGTATTGGTAGTGTAGAGGAGTACAACTTCTAGAGATTGATAGTGTCTGGCACTTGGCAGGGTGAAATTCCATGTCCCAGCTCATCTCCCACTCAGCTAACAGATTGAGATCCTGTTGTAGCTGGTCCTGGTCAGATCTGTTGGCGATCGTCCTATACACTGCTGTGTCATCTGCAAACAGTCTTGCCTGTGATGTCAGTTTCTCCGGTAGGTCATTAATGTATGCTAGGAACAAACAGGGGCCCAGGACTGATCCCTGGGGGACCCCTGACTTCACATTGACAAAGGAGGAGCTTGTACCGCCCACCACTACTGCTTGGCGTCGGTGGCTGAGGAAGCTAGAGATCCATGTTTTAGTGGTGCCTTGAATCCCATATATCTGGAGTTTGTGTAGAAGCAAACTATGATTCACCCGGTCAAATGCTTTTGCGAAGTCCATTACTAGCACGTCAGTCTGCTTGTGGTTCTCCAGATTGGTCATCAAGTCTTCTACAAATTCGAGAAGCTGGGTCTCACATGACCTATTGACTCGGAAGCCATGTTGACAGTCATTGAGTATATTTTGGCTTTCAAGATGCTTCATGACAGAGCTTACGATTATGTGCTCCAACAGTTTGCAGACGACGCTAGTGAGGGATATCGGACGATAGTTGGCAGGGTCGGAATGCTCCCCTTTCTTGTAAATTGGAGTGACATGCGCTGTTCTCCAGTCTGCTGGAACATTTCCTGTGCATAGTGACGATTGGAAGAGGATTGTCAGTGCAGGAGCGATTTCTTTGGCTAATTCTTTGAGCACTCGTGGTTTAATGTTGTCAGGACCACATGCTTTGTAAGGGTTAATGGTATTGAGGAGGGCAAACACACCTTGTTCTGATATCTGGATATCTCCCATGATAGGATAGGCTCTGTTCATCATTTTGGTCTTCAGAAGGAACTCAGTCTCAGAGTACTCTCTACCGTCACCAAAGACCGACTGGAACTGCTGATTGAGTATCTCCGCCTGTGCTTTTGGGTCAGATGTCAATTGGCCATCCCACCTCAAGGGGGAAACTCCAGCGTTTGAGGACTTTTGGTGTTTCACATAGCTCCAGAAGCGCTTGTTCTTGACATCTTTGGTCGGGGTGTCTTCCTCTGAGAAGATGCCGTTCATGTAGTTCCAATACGATCTACGCAATAAGCGTTGAATGGTTCGGCGGAGTCTCAGTACCTCCTCTCTCAGTTCCATCGAGCCATTTTTCTTCATGCGTTTGTATTGGCGGTCTCTCCTGTGGATGAGCCTACGGATTTCAGCCGTGACCCATGGCTGATTTATCCTAGGTTTGGTGATTTGGTGTGGTATAAATTTCTTCACTGCATCAGTGATTGTAGTCTTGAACTTCACCCACAGCTCGTCTGTTGTCGCTGTACCTTGAATCACCTTCATGTTTGAGCTTAGCTCTGTGGTTGCAATCCTTAGGCCATCCCAGTCTGCCTTGGCATAAATTGGGATTTCTCGAATGATTTGTTTCATTTTTAGTGTGTTGACCTGAAATTCACAATAAGGAATGCTGTGGTCCGAAATCCCGGGGATGACCTCAACTTTTTGGACACGATGTGGACAATTGGTGAGGAGTAGGTCAAGAGTGTTTTCCCCCCTCGTGGGTTCTTTAACCAGCTGTTCCAGACCATGGTTGTTAATTATCTCCATGAATTCTGAGTGTAGAACAGGGTATGGGGACTTGGGCTTCAAGGCAGGAATCTGCCAATTCCAACCAGGAAAGTTAAAATCCCCCCCTATAAGGAGAAAAGCGTTTTTTGACTGTGTTGCTCTGTGAAGCGATACCTCGAACCTCCTCAGGCTTGGTTCATCTGCTGTATTTGGTCGATAATAGGCACACACGTAGAGTGTGCGTCTACCCTTTAGTTTCAATTTTACCCACAGGATCTCGCAGTCGTCAACATCGAGTTCTGGAACAGCGTGGCAGTCCAAGTTGTGATGGACTGCAACAAGCACTCCTCCTCCTCTGTCTTTTCTGTCTCGACGAAATACTTTGTATATATCTGGTACAACCTCTGCGTTTGCTATGGAGGGATTCAGCCATGTTTCTGAGCCCAAGATGATGTCGGGTTTTAGGCTGTTAATTAGGTTAGCTATCTCTACTCGCTTACCACTTGCAGACTGGAAGTTTACATTTAATATGCGCAATGGCCTGTGTCTCCATTTGTCTTGTTGACTGCAGCGCATAGGAGTAGAGCAGTGTGGTGGTTGAAAACTTCGAATGTCTCTTGGTGTGGAGATTGAGTGGTTCAGAGAGAAATCTGGGAAGGTAGAGTCTGTCCCTGCACTATGTGGGTCAAACACAGACTGGTTAATCTGGCAGCCGCAGACAGTACAGTGCCATGGCACGTCAGAATTTTTAGCATGTTGGTTGTAATTAGAAGTGTCGATGCTTTGGCATTGACGATGGAACCATTGCCCACATTGTTCACAGGCAACGCCCCTGTCCTCCACATGTACAACATGGTCACATGCTCCGCAGATCCATGATGACTGGGATTTGGAACTTGATGGGGTATGCAAGGGAGAACCAGCACTAGTAGTAATGTTCGGTCCAGGGTTGGGTTCAGGAGAGTACGAATTTGCGAGGAGGATGCAGGCCAGATACAATAGTACCAGTTTTTGACGGCCTAAGGGCCTCTGAGTAGAGCATGATCGGGATGCTCTATGTAAAATGTCTATAAACACACAGTGAGCAGTACCAGCTATGCGGAAAACTGTCTTCCTACTGAAGTCCAAATTGTCAAATATAAGGCCTATTTCTGGTCTCTCGGCATCAAAAATGAACAATTTATTTACCAGAGCCGTTACCACAATTGTATATAGTGTAATATTGTATTTGAACATACTACAAGTCACTCCGTGTGTTTCAGTCTGAGAGCACACACAGCAATAGAGTTTTGCTACGCTTCAAGTAAGACAGGAAGTGGTAACAAAAATGGCGTCGAATATCAACAATGCAGTACAAACCCCGAAATCACATCATTAGCCAAGCATTTTGAAGACAGTGACTTTTGGCTCATCCCTTGACCAGCAATGGTGACATTTTAGATTATACATCACAGTTTGTTGAGGATTTACTTGACTAATAATGTCATAGTCAAAGAAATATTCCTCATAAAAAAACATGTACACTAATCCCATCTAACCGGAAGTTAGTCAGTTCGAGGTGTCGAGGAGCTAGATCAAATAGAGTGATCTAACAAAGAAGAAGTTAAAGGAGCTATGAGTGACCTAACAAAGTAGAGGTGTCAAGGATCTTTAACAAATTGAGTGATCTAACAAAATTGAGCTGTCAAGGAGCTAGATCAAATTGAGTCATCTAACATCTAACAACTTTCATTGATTTCAAAAACATCATTAATAAAAAAAAAACATAAGTGAGTGAGAGCACATAAAAATAAAAATCATGAAATTCTTTAATGCCAATATTCATACCTGTTCCAAGATATTTGAGGTTTGATTTCTGACATCTTGCAACTGTTTATAGAAAACAAAACAGCAGAACATTAACTCAAAACTTTATCCTAATTGCTTTCAGTTATCTCATATAATTTGTGCACAGAGTATTCCTTTTTTTTAAAATCAACTTCTTTGTATCATTATTTCATTTATAACTGTACATTGGCCATGAGTTTGTTTCACTTTCATCCTAGAAATCACATCACAATAGTATAACAAATGTATACAAATTTTTAAAAACTTGAAGGAAAAAAATCGGATACCAACAGCTAAGCTAAGAAAGTTCAGTGACCAGGGCACATGCTCTCTATGTTGCTAAGTTACTTGAACAGATAAACCCTAACTTTGCTACAATCATACAGACAAACCCTACATTATAATAATTCAGAACATAGTTACAATCATTCAGATCATAGATGCAATCAACACCTCCTCCTCTTTGAAGTACCAAACTTACATTGCAAAGTATTTCTTCCTCATCGACATCCATGTAATCATCTTCAGTAAAGTTTTCTCCCGCAGTAGTGACTTGGGCCTTGTAGACAGCAGTAGTGTCTTGGGCCTTGTAGACTGTAGTAGTGTCTTGGGCCTGGCAGACTGCAGCTTAATGAAATTTACCACTCATTAGTTTTACTGGAACGTTAATTATACACCAGCTAAACAATATATGATTTTAAAAGAACTTTTTGTTATACTCTTATAACAATAATTATTTCAATACATATTGAGTTATATACCTACAATAACAATAATGTTAACATCTTGAGTTACACACATGAAAAAGTAATTATTTTACTACAGCACATCTTATAACATACATACACACATTTCAAATCAAAACAATCTTACCCAAGTGAGGTTCATTACTATCCTCAAAACATGTTTGGTTTTTAAAAGGAAAAGTTCCGGTCTGCAGAAATGTGTCAATGCTGCTCTTAGATTGCTGGATTTCACTGGAGTTGAAGTCATAACTACCAGGTGGATACTTATGGGTTATTAGCTCAAATCTGGAAATATTGTTATTGGGCTGATTGACACTTTCAAAATGGTCATCCTCGACTGCATTAGATGAAATAATCTTATTTTCGGCTACAATTTTGTGTAGAATTGATCCATGAGTCTTCACATTGTGTCGCTGGTCAATGGTTGGATCAGATGGAGGTCCAGAACAGTTTTGAGTACCCTGGATTTCAGAAGCAGTATGTTGAAACTGGGAAGCATTGTTTTGGATCAAATTTGCACACTCCAAATGGTCCCCGTAGGTTTGATTAGATGAGAAAATCTCCTCTCTTTGTGGCTTTCTTGTAGCCAGATTCTCTATTTGTCGTTTAGCACAGAACTGAAGAAAGTCTTCTTTATTTTGTAGAGATGCAGTGTTGGCAGCACACTTAGTGTGGCGGGTATCATCTGAATCATAACGAGAATGACCTGATGGAGGTTTACCCCTGGCCAGGGAAACTTGTTCATTTAGTACCGGTACAGCTAAACCGCCAGCTCCCTGAACTTTGTTGATCTGTTTAGAAGCTTGAGCCAGGCTGGCACACCTTTTAAAGGGAAAAATGTCTGCCTGGGGTATAATATTGTGCGCTTTAATTGTATTATCATTTATTCTCTTCTGGTCAGTTCTGTTTGATTTAAAGATATGAGCACATGCTCCAGATGTATCTCTCTTTTCAGGAACCGGCTGACTTTTGATAGGTAGAATGTTTTTTGCCTGAGAACTGGAGATATTTTTGCTGATGGATTTCTCAGGAAGGATAAAATCATCTTCTGCTTGTAACCTTTGGCTCTGATTATGTACAGTACCCCCAGTATCCTGTTTATGTACAGTAACACCAGTAACTTGTTTATTATGGCGGGCTTTCTTATGTGTTTTTTTCTGGGAAGTGTAACTTTTATTACTGGCCTTATCAGTGTGTTTAGTATTACTTAATTTTTTTTCTCCTTGAGAAAAGGTCCCACTTGTCACAGTGTGTTTAGTACCGGTATTACTCAATTTTTTTTCTCCTTGAGAAAAGGTACCATTTGTGACAGTGTGTTTAGTATTGGTATTACTCAAATTTTTTTCTCCTTGACAAAAGGTACCACTTGTATCCCTATTGGCAGCTGGTTTGTTGTCACAAAGCCCATTGTAATTTTTGCTCTCATTTTGTTGTATGGAAGATTTATTTATATATTTTATCTTTGATGGCTTTATCATTTTTCTATTCCTAACATCAGTTTGACACTTTGCAATGTCCGATTCAGGCATAGGGTGAGCATCCATTTCTCTTGTATTGTGTGGACTTATTTTCATTGGTCTTGTAGATAGTCTTTGTTCTAACTGCAGCATAGGATCCTTGTTTGGTGCATTTGATTCACATCTAGATATAGTAGATTGTTTCTTTGACAGCTCATTTTGTGATTTCTGTTTCTTCTCTGGACTTGAATTTTGTTGGATCGCTTTCCGTTTTAGACAAGGTTTTTTTGGACTTTCAGAATCTAAAGCTTTCATCCTAGCCTGCAAGAGAATGAAATTCAATACTAAGAACACATACCTCATTTAAGTTATCAAAAAATATTCACACATATAAAAATTAAGTAATAGTTATTACTAATACAAATCACATATGTTTTTACCTCATCTTTTATTAGCTCATCAGGCTTTGTCCAAGTTGATACACCTGTGACAACATTGTAGAAATATAACCTTCCACCTCTTGATTTAGAATGTTTTTTAATCCAGTTGGAGATCAGAGGGGGTGAAATTGACTTCAAAGAGGGGGAAGTTGACTTCAGAGAGGGAGAAGTTGACTTGAGTTTTCTGGTTGACATTGTTAGGGCCTTCTGAGCATTAACTACTGTAACACAGAAGATAACATAGGAAAAAGTTTGGAACCGGTATCAAGTTAAAATGGAATAAAAACAATAATTTTAAAATTGTAATTCAATATTTCATTATGTGACAGTACAACACCATGTTTTGAACTAAATATATGTTGAAAAGCTAATTACTGAGCAGCGACGTGGTGTGGGCCCAGCAGCCCCTGCGGCTGCAGTCCGCCACTGATATTTAAGAGGCCAAAAGTTGTGATGTGGAAAAAAGACAAATATATTATATACTTTAAATGCTGGGGGGCATGATCCCAAAAAGTGGTCGGGTGCCTCCAAATGTTATGCGACAGCTCTGGTACTAAGTTAAGTAAATATTATTTTTATATAACAAACTGTTGTAAGTAATATTTATATGCCTAGCCATTAATTAATTTAACATTGTGACAATGATGCCATGATTAGGCCTATTTTATGAATCATCTAATCATGCATACTGATATCCATTATCTGTCTATCAGTAGGCCACCTCTAAGCCTATTCTGGTTCTGGTAATGTTTCGTTGTTGCACCCATGTACAGGCATCTTTGCAACGGTTGGGGATATGATGTTGCTATTCTAACACTAACAGCTCCTGGCTGATGCCAGGGCAGCCTTGAAGCTTTCGACCGATGTCGAGTTCACAGTGTCATCGTTCAGGTGGTTCCATGCTATTATTGTTATCTAATCCAGTGACCAGTGCTTTCCTAAGTTTTCATGTTCTGTCTGTACAACAGTACTGTATTAATACTGGTATTTTTTTTTTTACCTAAAAAAATGACTCTGTCTCAGTACTTTCAGTATCAGTCTTTACTACTAATTCTAAGACAGACATGACTATGATGACTCATGACTCAATAAGTTCGAGTGGTGACACTGAGTCTGAGTGGTCAGAGTTGGTACCGAAAGAAATGAAAAAGGCTCCTTCGTCAAGAAGGCTAAGGGGCAAAATAATATATATATATATATAAATCAACCTACACAATAGAATTGACAACTGATTTGTTTTCTTTATCGTTTTTTAAAAATTGCAATGTGACATGCTTAATGCCATGTTAAATTTGCCTTAAGTTCATTCAGCAGCAGTCGTAGAATGCTTCTGAGAACATGAAAATAAGACTCGGCCCATTCGTAATTTCTAGTTTAGGAGATCACGATAGTGGAGTGGCTCTCAAACTCAAATTGTGGGACAAAACCCCATATGAAAAAAAAAAAAGTTACGTCGTTCGTCATTCGCATGCGAACTGACCAAGGCTATATTAATTATTAAGTCAATCTCTAAGCTAGCCAATTGTCACTGAAAAACGTTTGAAATCCATGGTTACTAATGCTCTATTTATTTATTTATTTTTTTTATGAAGATCGTGATCTATTTCTCCTGAAAGAAAGAAAAATAAATTGTTGTTTAAAAGAAGAACAATAAAAAAAATGCAAGAGAAATTTTTTAAAAGTTAAATCTCGGTTGCATTGCAATTGAAATATGGCATGGTATTGTTTATTTTACATTATTACAAGCAATGATTAGTATGCAAACAAAAAATTGTAGAAAAAATTATGTCACCAATTATCAGCGGTTATTAGGCTGGTAGCCGGACACTTAGCCGGACACTTTCTAACGAAAAGTATTTAATTTTTAAGTTGGGACCGCAGTTCTGAGACGTCATCGTTTTGTTGCATTGTGTGACGTAATTTGTGACGTAATTATTTATTTGGACTGGACCAAATAGTTGTTGGGAAGTGTGTGTGTGGGGGGGGGGGGAGAGAACACAATTTTAACTACTCACTTCAACTGATTACGTAAAATCTTTAATGCCCCCCCCCCACCACAAAAAAAAATATTGGGGAGAAGAGAAATCGGTCTTAATGCTACCTAAAAGAAAATTGCATTTCAGTTTTGCTCCCATTTCGGCCTTAAGATTCGCAATTGTAGGATAAAACTAAAATGGATCGTGGGCCCTTAATAATATAGGAGAAGAAAATATTAAATTGAATATATTTGTACAGCAATATATGAAAAACATAAAGGTGGTTAACTTTTAAAAATCATGCTTTAACACTAACATCCCCCCCCCACACGTCAAATATTGCACCTTCCCACTGTGACGAACAACTCCCTCTTACCTTCACCACTGTTCTCTGTACTATTATAATAATATGTCCTCCTATAATCTACAAATTGTCTCCATGTATGGCGGGGTGGGGGCGCGGTACGCCACGAGTTGAATGTGTTTATTAATTGACTTCATTTAATTATATTTCTCGTCATTTATTATATATAATATATACATAGGCCTAAATGTGGTCACGAATGTGAGACAAAAATTGAAAATAAAATAATGGAGAGCTGCGCTAACATCCCAAGATTTGTTTCTTAATTCATAAGTCATAAGTGTGAAACTTGAAACATGCACACTTTTTCCCCAGCCTTTACTTTATATTATTGGAGAAATACTTGTGTACAGTTTGTTTGCCCTCTTCTAGTTTCTAGGCACTAATTTTGCTAACTATTACGTTAGTCCAGTAATCTTTTTTTTAAATAATAGCTTAATGCGTTGTTGTTTTTTGTCTCTTACTATTTATATATTGATTGATTGATTTGATATTTATATCGCGCTGGTATCCATGCCACTTTAGCATGCTCACTGCGCTCTGGTCCTCCCAAATCTATTTAAACAAAAAAGTTTTTAATTATTTCTTAACCCTTTACAGTCCAAACCTATTCAGCCTTGTCTACTCCCAGCGCCCAAGCAAAGGGACATAACTCCATTTTAAATGAAGGTTCTTTATCTAATTAATTTACAGAAAATAAACTACAAGCAACAAAAATAAAATAAAAAATACCTAAATACAAAGAAATGATTAAATCAAAAGTTAAACCTAAAAATAGTTTCAGAGACCCTCCCACTCATGAAATAGTGTAGCTTCATTAGGCCTAAGTTCTTTCAAAAGTGTATCCAAGGCTTAGATAGCCAATTTTTACAGCGAAAAAATCGCGACTTTTAAAAAAAATCACAGAAAATCAGCCCCTAAGCACACCGCGGTCAAACCAGTATCAAAATAAATGCCGACAACGAGGCTTTCTTCCGGTAGAACTATAAATAGTAATGCGCAATGGATTTCCGCTGTGCTAAGAACGAAAGTAAACAACCTCGTAATGAGTCGTAACGGGCGGGTTTGGCCGCATCGGACTGTACGCTTAAGGAAAAAATCGGCGCATTTCGGGCGCATCGGACTGTAAAGGGTTAAATGATTTTTTTTTATCATTTACGATTCCCCTCAAAGATTGACGCAAACTGTTCCATAATTTTGGCGCTATCGCTTCAAAAGAGCGCACTCCGTAAGACTTTTTTCCGTGTTCGTCCACACAAGGAACACTCAGTAAGTACTGAGTTAAAGACCGCAGGCTCTTCAAGGATACTTGTTTATAAATCAGTTCTTTGAGATATTCCGGTGCTGAGCCATCTATGCAGCTGTACGCCAGGGACTCAATTTTGTAGTTAATGCGCTGACTCACAGGAACCCAGTGGAGATCTCGTAGAACTGGGGTGATGTGGTCAGATTTTTTTCATACGCGATACAATGCGTGCTGCATTATTTTGTATCTTTTCGAGTCTCTGAATTTGGTTCTGAAGTAATCCCCATAAACAACTATTACAGTAGTCTAATCTTGACTGGATTAGAGTAACTGCTACAGCATTTTTTGGCTGTTTTCCTATTGATATTGAGTTGAGAACGCAGCTGAGCCAGGGCACGCAGATGACAGAAGCATGCCTTTACAACAGAACTGATAAGGGGAATCATACTAAGTTTACTGTCAATATAAAAGCCAAGGTCTCTGGCAGTCGAGGACAACGGGATCTCTGATTCACCAACTTTTATTGATGCAATGGTAACTTTCCGAAGATTGGCATCTGAACCACAAATAATTGCCTCAGTCTTATCATCATTTAATTTTAGTCTGTTTGATGACATCCAATCTTTTACAGCAAGACAGCAGTCCTCAACAGCCTGAACAGCAGTAGCACACTCCAAGGGATCAGGGCAGAAACACTTGTATAGTTCTGTGTCATCTGCAAATATTTTGCGGGAAATACCATGACTTTCAATAATTTTGCCGAGCTGGCTAGTGTACATGGAGAACAGAATAGGTCCTAAAACTGAGCCCTGTGGCACACCACAGGTAACGGAAGTGTCCATGGAAGATGCCTGCTTCACTACAATGCACTGAGTCCTGTCAGTCAGATAAGAAGAAAACCAGCGAATTGCAGTTCCAGTAATGCCTGCCACATTCAGAAGTCTTGACAGAAGCTCATGGTCGATCACATCAAAGGCAGCACTGAGATCCAACAGAACCAATATTGTCAGTTGGCCACGGTCAGCACTACAAAGAACATCATTCATAACACGGAGTAGTGCTGTCACACAGCTGTGCCCAGGTCGATATGCAGATTGAAACTTGTCAAGTAAGTCATAAGTGTTTAGATGCTGCACAAGCTGCTGTGACACAACTCTCTCAAGAATCTTAGATACAATTACAAAGGGCAGGTTGGAGACCGGGCAAAAATTCGTACAATTATTTGGGTCCAGGCCACTTTTTTTAAGCAGAGGCTTGAAGAGACGTGGGACTGTAGCAGACTGAAGGCTAATATTCACAATGTTGACCAGTACAGGAAGCAAGAATTCCAGAATTTCAAAACAATCCTGGTTGGGATGGGGTCAACAATAGAAGATGTAGGTTTAGATGCCATCATTATATCTCTTAATTGTTCATGGGAAACGGGAAAATTCCACCAGAAGATTGCCTTCAAGGACTTTCTCCACCGTAGAGAAATCACAACGTTCCCCAAAGCTCCTTCTGATTGTTTCAATTTTTTCAGTGAAAAAATCACTCAGTTTAATTGCACTGCAATTCTTGTATAAAAAAGTTCTATCAAGTGAGAGTCCTTAAAACAGTCTATATTTAAAGATACATTTTGGTTTGGACTACCTAATTGCAGCTTGTTGGCTTCTCATGTCAGGCAAAACAAAGGGTGCTGATTTCTTTCCAAGAAGGTCATTCACCACAGAGAACATCTTGCGAGAATCAGTACCTGTTGCCGTAAGGAGAGATTGAACATGCTCAGACTTTGCATGCCTGATTTCTTGCGCATACATGTTGCGTGCTTTCAGAAAATATATGTCGTGGTATTGTTGGTTTTTTGTGTGAAATTATTTTATTATTAAAATTGATAACCCTAGTCGATCTCCAGTTGTCACCCGTTAATTTTTATTTTAGTACTGTGACAGTATAGTAATTTCTAGCTTAATTTCTGTTTGCTTTATAACTTAATAAAGATGTATAGTACTAGAATACATTAACATTAATATGGGGCTTCCAACTTCCAGAACTTTTCTTGCCTCCTGCACACCAGTAACTCTAACAGTTGTGAAAATAGCTTTTATATATGTATCTTTTTTGTATTAACAGTCAGGTAAGTTACTTTTGGAGACCCCCTATCACTTTTCAGCTTTGTTCCCTCTGCATTCAAAGTTAATAGTTTGTTGTAGTTTTTTTCACATCACAATTTTGGGAATCTCAAATATCTGAGGCCGCAGTGTCCATGCGACGGCTCCAATTGGTGACAATCATTACATTAAAAGATAATTGCAGTAAAAAAATAACTTTTATTTGTTGAAAATCTAGTCCTGTACTGTAATTATTAATTGATGTGTTACGTAGTGTACAACTCCAGTTTCTATATTGTCCTTTATAATAATTTTATTTATTTATTCTTTATAGGACAAAAAAAATAGCATCCCCTTTCTTAGTCAAGTTCATAATCAGTGGAGCCATTAGTTGCATGTCATGCACCAGTACCTAGGCCATTACTTGGATGACATTCACCAATACCCAAATCCTGTTTCTTCAGCATGAAATCAGGCTATTAGTCACCGTTTTTAAAAGTGCAATAGAAAATAAATGACACTAACAATGCACTTCAGACAATACGCACTTCAGACAATACCAATATATTGATGAACAACATCAATCATCTTACCGGTATGTAGGAATTTATTAGTCCTATAGTATTTACAAATCCTTGTTTTAAAATTGAATAAAAATTCATATAATATCACTCAGCAGCATCAGTTTTAAAATGTAATGAATCAAATACGAATGTATTTGAAAAAAAACAACATTAAAATTAAACAGAATATGTTGTTACAAATAGTAAAACAATCTTAATGTGTTTTTTAAAATAATTCCTGCTACATCTAGGGCCTTCTTATGTCATCCAAGCCATATGATAATTCAAGTTTGATATGACCTGATTATCATCATATTAATCCGCAGACAGGCACCGGTACACAAAACTCACATTGCCAAGTCCGCACAACGTGAAAATTTTTGTTCATCAATATTTATGTTCATGAATACCGATATAAATGTTTAAATAAAAAGAAAATATATTTAGTAAATCTGTCACCGGTCCCTGGTGCAATTTTGAATCAACTCCATCAGGCCGGCAAACTTTAAACTTTGGGAAATACTGGTTTATACTATATGGATGTTTATACTATATGGATTAACATTTTCTCCCTCCACTAACTGAAACAAAACATTTTACAGTTGAATTGATACATTTTACTATAATGCATTTTCTAACAAAAAAGTTTGACCCTCTTTCAACAACTTTTGTGCTTTCTGTTTCATATTCCATGCTATTACAGTTTCGGGGAGGCTCAAAATGGTTGCCGATTATAATTTAAAAACTAAGAAGTAAGCTGGCACTTTGCGGCATTGGTCATGGGTAATCAGTTTAATAAATGTAACTTTATTAATTTCCCTGAGGATTTAACCTAAATTTGTCCCTTTGTGACCAACTTCAATTAGATTAGTCCAAACAAACAATACAATGTAACACACCAAAGAACTCAGGGATTTTCCATTAACCACAGTATAAAAAGCATACAGTTACATCTAATATCACATGCTGATCCTTTTAAGAACACTTTACAGCAAGTAATAAGTCACATCTAATAAACAAAACAGACAAATTTATAGCATGAAATTACCGTGTTAATAACATCTAAGTTTTCAGAGGAAGAATTATTCACATTATATCTAGCTAGTGGAGGTCCACTGGTCCTAGCTGGTGGTAGTCACTTATCCTGGCTGGTGGTAGTCCCTTATCCTAGCTAGTGGTGGTCCACTAATCTTAGCTGATGGTGGTCCAATAATCCTAAAGTGTAGTGGTCTAATAATCCTAGCTGGTATTTGGCCTAAGGGTCTATAGGCCCTCAGTCATCAACTTGTTTACTGTGAATATTTGTAAAGATCTAAAAATAATCAATACATTTAGTCACCAGTCTCTGCTGCAATGTGGATAATTCCTGTCAGACCATAACATTTACATTAAACAGTTTGAGAAGTGCTGATATAACAAATAGAAAGGAAAGTAAGACAATGATTTTTAACTAATTATTAGGAAACAATAACTTTGATTACACAAGTAAAGAGCAACTATCTTTTGTTTCTAGTTCTATCAGATTTTTAAAAAACGTGAAATCTGCACTTTTTATTTTTAATTTACCGGTACCGGTAGTCAAAATTTGGAATCTGTGCTTTGAAAATATGAAATGATATGTTAAAAAAAAAAAGTAATAATTTCAAGTTTAATTTCAGGAACATTTTAAGGCAAAAATATATTAGCATTGCACATTCTTAATAGAGGATTTCAACCAATAGTTGTGTTACAGTATTATTATATTTTCCAGTGTGATGCATTTGAATTTTTTTTTATACTCCCACATAGTCCACCTGTTCACAATATTTTCCAGGAAACTGGGAATACACATAAAATAATATTTTAACTGGAATGATATGTGAAAAAAGTTAATATTTTGAGATGATTATGTAAGCTTTATGAGTAAGCTTTATGTTTATAATATAGCAATTCTTATCTGTTTAATGCACAAAAGTGGCCTTGTGTATGCACAATATGATGACACTATTGAACATAGAAAGTTATTCTTCCTATATTCCACTTGTTATTTAGATTTTTTTCCTCCTCTTTCCTTTAAAATTTCTTTCCATAGAGCATAAATCACGTACCATGCAGGTGAATGTTTTGTGTAAGTAAGTAGTACTTTTTCTCTTCTTCATAGAAATTTTAAAGGGTAATATTTAGATCAACAAGGTGAGCTTTTAAAATATTTGTTCAATGGATTTTAAAAAGTTTATTTATCATTTTGATATCTTTTGTAATATTTCTATGACATGCTCACATTCACATAAATTCAAACAAGCAGCTGTCACTGTCACGCGATATTCAACAAAGAATTTTCTTTGATGAAATATTAAACTGGAGCTCACTGAATTCTTTTTTGTTACTCTTCTTGCTTTTTCTTTAATAGCTCAAGCAAATCTGGAGGAATATCAAAGTTCGATATTTTCTTTACTTCTTCCCCTTTAGCTGCTAGAATCTCCTCAATATTTCTGCAAATAAGGAGTTAAAATAAAATTAATTTAAATGTTATTTTGACCAGCAAAAATTGTATCATATTTACACTTGGGGCACATTGCATGGATACAAATATATGGTATTCTATTATGGTATGGTATTCCATGTTTGAAATTTAAATGACAATGCTATATATAATAATAAACAGTTAAACAGTGAATGAAAAATTAAAAAGTTTAGGCATCTATTATATAAGGGCCAGTCAAGAAACTATATAAGATACACAGAATGCAATACCCAACAATTTTTAGTTGTAGGCTCTACAAGAATTATTACATACCTTGTCGTAACATGGCATTATAAATTTGGCATAAATTCAGGTTTCATAACTAATTAAGCTTGAATTCCACAAATTAATTACAAAAGACATAATTATTATGTTTTTGAAATCATAATCCTTAGGCCTATCCATTGCTAGAATTTGGCCTTTCTTAGAATTTAGTTAGGGATGAAACTAAATACAATAACATTTATAAAAATAATGACCCCAATGAAATGATGCTAAAAAAAGTTGGTCTATAACATTTATAAAAATAATGACCCCAATGAAATGATGCTAAAAAAAGTTGGTCTACCAAATATTTAAAACTAAAACCCTTTCAGTTGCAGTTTAAAAAAAATGTATGTTTATATTTGAAGTTGAAGATTAATCAAATGAAGTTATGAGCTTACCGCTTATTAACATCTTTAAACCAGCCCAAGTTATCCGCAATCAAGTGATTGCTTTGGCAATTACAACATTTGACAATAACAACTCCTTCCTCATAAGATTTTTTTGAGAATGTGTGGTTATTTCTAGTTCCACAAACTTTGCATTTATACAATAATGCAAGCCTTGGTGTAAAATCTCCCAATTTTCGTTTTTTAATTTCTTCTGGCTTTTTTGTTTCGTCAAGGCAATTGTTGGATGTACTTGTATTGAACTGTCTCTTATGTAAAAAAAATTTGGCACCTAGACCTAGTGGTTCTTTCAATAAGATTTTATTGTAATTATTGTGCTCAACGAAACTTTTTAAAGTTCCAAAACTTTCCCTTCTTAAGCCGGAACTAATACTAATATTAACATTATTAACAACACCTATGCCTATTGATTTTGATGTCTGTCGAATTTGTTTTATAAACATTAAAACTGATATTGGGTTAGTTATAGTCATAGTTCTTTTGAGAAAGGCAGACATCATCGCTTCTTAGACTTAGACGCCTAATCAAAATCAAGCATGATAGTGAGTCATTCACCACAAAGCCAATATGAATATGCAATTTGTTTTAGGGTTTTTGTAACCTATACTATAACTATAATATAAACATAGTCATAATGTCATATCACTGACTTTACTAAAGTGGGCGAATAAAAAATGAGTTTTCCGGATGCAAACTTCCAATGCCGTAATGTTGCCTCTGTGTTGAAGAGCTACATGCGAGCGCTAATAATTATTCGCTTATTTATAAAATTTAGAAGAAAAAAAATACATTAATTCCTGAAATACTAATACATGATAATTTTAATACAATTTTAAATACTAGATTCTTTTTATTTAAAATATCTATTACAAATTTTTAATGCGTAAAATTTTTTCTGAATTTTAACTCAATGGCTGTTGACACTGTTGTTTTGACCTTTAATCAGCTGTTATTAAGTGTTATTTATTAGTACTTTGGACGACTTGGACTTGATAACAAAACAAAATGGCTGTAAATCTCGCAAATAGAATCTCTTGCTGCAGACTATTATGCTTTAGAGGCTTATCAAGTGTTCTTAGACGAAACTTGAATGGAACATTTAGTACGTTTACAAATCGCTAGATTATTATTACTATTATGAACTATTATGCAAAACAAGGACTAGTGATAGTCTCAGTAGTGTAATCCATAGTCCATAGTAATAGTAAATAATAATTAACATTTAGTTTTAAAGTTAAACTTATTTCCGATTCCGGACTCAAACTCAGGAGTCAGACGTCGCTATCACTTAACTTGTCTCACTCTCGTCACACTTATCGGTAAGCAGTACTCACGGTGACTAAGTTTACTGAGTCTGAACTGAAGGGCGTGACTTGCATGGGACACTGAAGTCAGTCACTGACAAAAAAGACTGAGCCTGAGCACAACACTTTTTTTACTTTTTAACGGGTATTTCTTTTAGTTTATTTCATTATGATTCACACAATCATTGTATGGGCTTTTATGGCTAGTCTGGCTTCTTTACTTAAGAATTATCTAAAAAGGCATCCTATTATTGAAAAGCCTAGTCTACAGTCCAGTAGTCAAGTGTTTCCTACATGCCTACATTTTTTAGTTTGTTGATGAACTAGGACTAGTGGACAAGTATTGAAATTGCGCCAGGGACCATGCCAGATTTATTAATTATATTATCTTTTTTCTTAGCTGTATGGTCTAAACTGAGCAAATCAAGTTGGTGGTCTGGAGTTCAATTCCAGCCAAAGCCCAGTCCAGCACCCCTGGGTGGAAGGGACTTGTTAGCCCTCGAATGCAACTCATCTAAGAGAAGGCTAAGGGTGTGAACTGAGTGCATTCGTTTTCCTCTCCGCTTCGTGATGGTCCCAGCTTGACCTTTGCTCTCAGTTGCCGAATCACCGGAAGAGTCTCATATTTCAATCTAGGAAACGGAGTGCATCCCTCTCGCGTTCCTATATATATATATATATATATATATATATATATATATATATTCTTGTGCTGCAGGCCAGCAATCTAAGGTTTGGGGAATGCTGATGTAGGCTAAAGGCCTGCTACCTATAGAGTGTAGCAGTGGGTCCCAAACTTCATATTTATTTGCCAATGTTACTTTTTTTTTCATAGTGTCTTTTATCCTTTAAATAGGCATTGCTAATCAAACTGATGGAAATCAAGAAGCCCTTGAAGAAGAAATAAGTAACCAGATGAGGCAATATGATGTGCTATATCCAGGACATATTAGAACATCATTTTTCCAGAAATCCTTGCTGGCCCTGGGCTCAGGAATAGCCTGTTTAGTTAACCCAGCCAGAGATGGTAAGTTATATTATCAATGGACTGAACCCAGCCAGAGGTGGTTAGTTAGATTATCATTGGACTCAGGAATAGCCAGTTCCGTTACCCCAGCCAGAGATGGTAATTTTTCTAACTTGGTACGGTACCCGGTAATCAGGCTAATAGTGAAAACTTAAAAGGAGTGTACAAATTTGTTTCCACTTTTTCTTTTTACTGTGCAGGAACACGATCCGAAGTGCTTAATTAAGCAATGATTCATTTCCTAGAGACAGAAAAGCTAACATCTGGTTAAAAAATGCTCTAGAGCAAGTTTCTTAACCAGGGGTACCTGCATCCTCTGGGGTTGTGTGGGCATTCCAAGGAGTGTGGGGAGACCCAGAAAATCCATGCCTATTAGCAGCAGAAAATTATTTTGTGTTGAATTTTATTTGCACATTATTTGTGAAGGTGCATTTTTTTGTTTCTAGCAAGTTAATTGAAGAAGGAAAGCTATCTGAATGTGAACTGAATTATTTTCATATTTATTTATTTTATTTCACTGCTCTTATCTGGTGCAGTCGGGTGCGAAAAATATTTTGTAATCGAGAGGCACTGCAAAAAGGTTAGGAACCCCAGTTCCATAATTTTGTTTAAATATTTTTTCCCATATAATTTCTCTTGTTTTCAGTATCGGTCAGAATAAGCCTTCTAAGCCTCAAGATAGAACTCAGAAGTTAATTTCAATTATGAACTGTCTTTAAGAATAAATAATTAATACCGATAGCTGTATCAGGTGGAGAAAAAAATTGAAATTTGTTTGCCAGTACACTAATGGAAATATTTTTTTTTACTTTTGACGCTAGTTATAATATAGTTGCAAATATTCTTTTGCCGGTAGAAGAACTGAGAATTTTAAATTTGCACATTTTTTTAAAAACATTAAAATCATAACTCCAACTGGAAAACCATTAGGATTAAATAGGTTAAGAAACTTTCAATGTTTTGCAGATATGATTTGTGCTCTCGGCGAAACAACTGGCCCTCCAGCTCTCAAATATATGCATAAAAATATGTTGGCAGATCCTGTTGGCAGGCAGATCTTAGAGTGAGTCGTTAAAGTGATACGGTAGCAATAAGTGTATACTTATCCTAAAGAAAATGACTTAGTATTTTAAACTGTATTGTTTTCTCACAGCTCAGAGTAGAGAGAATTTCAAGGTTAACCAGCATTGCAATACCATCAAAACAATTTACATTTAAAATGATAAAATGTTTTTTTAAAGCTATGTATTTATATAAAGAAAATATTTGACTCTTAGTTAAAATTCAATGACATATTGACAGAGAAAAACCCTTGATTAATTCAACAACTATAGATGTTGACTATCTGGGCAGTCTTCGTGAAGGCACCTTTGGAAAAGAATATTGGAATTTCCTCTCAGTTAATGTAAGTAAGAAAGAGGAGGTCATCCTATTGTACAATATAAAAATAATAATTGGCAAAACCAATGAAGTATTTGTACAAGTAAAGCATGGGAAATTGCCTTTGATATCAAAAGAATCATGGTTATTAGTAAAAAAAAAATGAAAAATCATCATTTTGTATACAGTGAAATTCCATATTTTGATCATCAATATATGGGGCCATCTATAAATTATGCCAAAACTTTGTCATTTCGAACCCCCTCTCTCCCCATTGTCAACAATTGTCAACCTTTCATGGACCCCCTAACTATATGTTGTTTGTCCATCAAGATCGACAAGAACCATCTTGTCATCTGGTTTTGGGGGGGGG